AGGTTCGAGTCTAGTTGTCCTCCTCTCCTAAACACCACAGTGCTTAGCTTAATTATAGCATTTTTAAATCCGTCGTACCTCATTGTATAACTGTCAATTCGTCGTCCAGATTTGAATTTTATTGTCTTTATTTTAATCATTTTTTTAAAAAATTCTATTTTTTTCTTGAATATTTCCTCCTTTCTTCAACAAGCGATACCATACTGTGGACACGTGTTTATATAAAACATAACGCATGCGCGGTAATGTCAGAGGCGGTTGCCAGTAGCAATGTTAGCAGGTATAACTTGGATCCAGCCTCTTTCGTCTCAGCTTTAGTTGTTTGATTCCTTTCCCTTTCTTCGTTTGTTCTTTCTATCTCATTTTTCTTCTTTCTTTTCTATCAGTTTTCTTTCTTTCTTTATTCTTATTTTTCCCCTTGTATTTTTCGTTTTGTACCTCGCTGATCCCCCACTTTTTTTTTTTTTTGCAAACATTTTTTTTCTGTCGCTCGATGTTCTTCTTGTGTCTTTGTTTCCTTCTTTGTTTATTGTACCCTCCTAACATTTTCATTTTTTTTTTTCTTTTATTCTCCACTTTTCCCCTCTTTCACATTCATCCGTTCACACGAACCCTCACACTCTTTTTACATCAACACACACGCTCTTTTCACTCTCTTTCACTCACTCGCTAACTCGCATATTTTTTTTATCTCCCTCCCCCCACTTACTCACACTATTTCTTTACCCACACTCACCCGCACTCACATTCGCTAGTTTTATAATATTTGTTCTTTTCTTTCAACTTTTGCGCCTGCTCGTTTTCTGTCGTTGGTACACGAGCTCTTAATATTACCAACACTTGCTTTCCTTTCTTTGTTTCTATGTTATTTTCTTTTTTAAAATTACTTTTTAGTCAGTGTTTTACTATCTGTCAGTTCCTTTTCTTTTTCTTTTTTTTGTTAATCGATCGGACACTCTATCCCGATTTTCCTATCTACCTGTCTATAACTAACTATCAGTCTATTCTAGTCATTCATTCATTCATTCTTTCAGTAACTTGCATGATTGTAAACACGCGGGCTTATGTGCACGACCGTGCGGAAGTGTTCGTATATACTCGCATGGGCGTTTATTTGTTTGCGTGTCTCTGTGTGTGTGCGCGCGTGTGTGTGTATGTGTCAATTACTTTCAGTAGCTAAGAGAATCTTATATTGGAAGACCTGACACACCCCACAACCTTTTATGGCCCGAGCCCGCCCATAGTCAGATCTTTATTATATGTGTATATCCGTCAGCGCTCGCCTTCTCAACAGAAATCAGACTGGCTTGTAGTCGTGTGCACTCGACAATAAGAAAGCTACGCACACACGCACTCACATTCACACACACACATACATACATACACTCATAAATACACACATATTTCTATATATATGTATATACATACATATACTTACAAGCATGCGAACAAACGGCCAAAATTTACGCTTACACGTTTAACGCTTAAAAAAAATTCAACACACGCCATATATTTAAAAAATCCCATGAACCAATAACTATAAAATATACCATGTAGATATACAAATAGTTTTAAATTCATAAATGTACTGATAGACATATATTTTTCTTGTGTCTACATACAGATATATTTATGTATGCGGTGGTACCCAGTGAAGCAGAGCAAAGGTTTTACCGAACTCCAGTTACAGAATCAGTGTCGTCTGTAGTAAGTTTAAAATATTCCCCGAAACGTAAACAAGCGTACATACTCGCTCGCTGTGGTGCATTTTACTCTACTCCACGTTATTACGCGCAACTACAAACGAAAGCACTGGTGGACAGATACAAGAGTCACTCGAATCACTGTAACAACACCACCAATATCAAGAAGAAGAAGAAGAAGAACAACAACAACAGCTGCTTCTCACGACACACGCATTTCTCTTACATTCATATATACACCATACGCGATTCACATGAGGCAGACGGCAAACACATTGAACAACCGGGTAGACTGGTGAAAAAGGAAGGAAGAAAGAAAAAGGTTGACAGATAGACAGACGTATAGACGGATTTGTAGATAGTGTGATAGTGTGATTAACTGCTCTAGTTAGATTTAGATAGAGAGATAGATAGACTGATAGATAGACAGATAGACAGACGGACTGGCTGGTGGAGATTGCAAGATTTTTTTTTCCCCCCCAAAAAACAGCTCGTGTTATATAGACCTCCTATTGGCCTGTCGAGTTATGAAAAGTCGTTCTTTTTATTTTTGTGCGTTACTTATTACTTCATTGGCGACTTTGCTGGGTTGCAAACGATGTAGTTGTTTGCCATCACATTATTACGCGGCGAAGCAGTCGGACAAGTTGTACAAAGAAGGTGGGCTACGGGTGACAACCAGTCCGACTGCGGCGACAGCTACCCCGACTACCACGACTACGACCACGACAAAAACTACGACGAAGTCGACAAAAACGACGAAGATCATAACCACCACCACCACCACTACCACCACC